CTTGCCAACCCGGCCCTCATCTGGGGGAAATCTAGTTCGACTACGGCTCCACCACTGCAGTCAGGGACCTTACCGCAAGCTGATCCCAGAGTGGGCTGGAGAAGGGGGAGCCCCACCTGCGGACCCTGCCTCTGTCTCTCCATCCCTCCACCTGCATGTAATGGGCTAACATGATTCATTCAGCAAATACAGGCTGAGAGCCTGCTCTGTGCCATGGTGTTAGGCCCTTGGGAGCCAGAGACAAGGTGCGCAGGGTCCCCGCTCTCAAAGACACTCATTCGTGCGTGCACTCGCTTACTCAGCAGGGAGCACCTACCATCATCAAGGTCCTGAGAGAAATGCAAAAGAACCCAAGTCATCAAGGTCAACTCCTAGAACGTGAAAGCTAGAAGAAAGCAGGTTAGGCACTAGTCCAACCTTCCCATTTTACAGACAGGAAACTGAGACTCAGAACGCTTAACGATTTGGCCATTTGTTAGCCTGGGGCTATAACCTGGCCCCCCCAACTCTTTCTCCTGCACGTCCTGTGCTGCCACCACCCTCTCCAGTGTTCCTGCGTCGCTCCATGCCCCCTGCACTCCTTGCCTCCGAGGGTTGTCACCATTCAGGCACCAAAGAGCCCTCTCAACCTGGGCATCCCACAGAGGGACGGGCCCTCTCACCCACAGTGTCGCGGAGGCAGAGGTGCATTCATATATATCAGGAAAGAGGGCGAGAGTCTCCATACATATCAGGAAAAAAAGGGCGAGAAAGGATGGCAGGGTGGGTGCTGAGAACTACTCAGCTCCAGCCTGGGCTGAGCCAGCCGTGGAAAACACACCTGGATTCCAAACCTAACCCCATGACTTGCTTGCTGACGACCGTGATCAAGTTCCCTAAACTCTCTGAGCCTCCACTTTCTCATCTGTACACTGCAGAGAGTAGTGGTAACTGCTTCACAACGTGGTTGTGAAACCTCACGGGAACTGTGCAATGAAAACTTAGCACATAGCCAGTGCTCAGTGACAGTGGGGCTGGAACCCCCATCTTCAGAGCTGCGTGGCTCAGCGACACCTCCAGCAACTGTATAGCTGACTTCCTGTCAAGGACACTGAGTCCCTGCAGAAGGAGCTGAGGCCACCGGGAGCACAGGCCACAGCCCAGGGGTATCTAGCACTCAGTGGGGCATTTGTAAAGGGAAAGATGTCTCGCCCAGCAGAACAGAAAGGAGGAGGCACGGCAGTGCCGGGGAGAGCCCTAGCACGTGCGGTTGGCCACCTCGTGGACCTGTCAGTGAGCAGAGAGTGACCTGGGCACCAGGAGAGAATTCCATATGAGGTGCTGTCTGTGGGGAAGGGGACGGAAGGGAGAGCAGGCACGGATCTTCCTCTTAATCCCAAGGGTAGTGGAGATGGCTGAATAAAACCTCCTATGGCATCCACCCAGCCCGTAATCCATCTTTCCTATCCGAGAACGAACCCCTCCCACACAGAGAGGCGCCCTCGGCAGCTATACTTTATCCATAACCCCATCTCTCCAGCTAAACTGACTGGCCCAGCAGTACACAACTCACCCAGGCTGCGACAATCAGATTCTCTTTATTTTTTTTAAACAGCTTTGTTGAGATGTCATCTATATGCCATGTAAAGCACACCATTTTAACGCATACAATTCAATGGTTTTGAGGGTATTCATAAGGTTGTGCAACCATTATACCACTACCTAGTTCCAGAACAGTGTCATCACCCCCAGAAGAAGCCTGTACCCTTTAGCGTTCATTCCCTTTATTTCCCAACAACCTCCCCAGCCCCAGGAAGCCACCAATCTATTCTCCGTCACTACAGATGTGTTTATTCTAGACATTTCATACAAATGGAATCAAATCGGTGTTTTTCTGTGACTGACTTTCATTTAACATAATATCTTCAAGGTTCATCTTAGAGCATGGATCAGTAATTCATTCCTGTTAATGGCCAAATAATAGGCCGCTGCACAGATACGCCACATTATGTTTATCCACTCATCTGTTGATACCCATTTGGGTTATGGTCACTTCCGGCCATTATTAATAATGTTCCGATGAACATTCATGTACAAGTTTCTGCATGAACATATATGTTCATTTCTCTTGGATAAATATTTAAAAATGGGATTGCTGGTCTTGTGATACTTCTATGTTTAACCTTTTGAGAAACTGTCTTATTGTTCTCCAAAACAGCTGCACCATTTTATATTCCCACCAGAATGTATGAGGGTTCCAATTTCTCCACTTCGTCACCAACACTTGTAATTATGTCTTTTTGATTATAGTAATTTGAGTGGGTGTGAAGTGGTGTCTCCCTGGGGCTTTGATGTCCCTGTCCCTGATAGCTGATGACGCTGAACATCTTTTCATGTGCTTATTGCCTGTGCTCATTACACATCTTCTTTGGAACAATGTCTGCTCAGATTCTTTGCCCACTTTTTAATTGTTATCTTTGGGTTATTGAGTTATAAGGGTTCTTTATATTTTTAGATATGAGTTCCTATATGTTATATGCAAATATTGTCTCTCATTCTGTGGGCTGTCTTTTCATTTTCTTAGTGGTGGCCTTTGTAACAGCAAAGGTTTTTTTCTTTTTATTTTGATGAAGTTCAATTTATCAGTTTGTCATCATTGTTGTTGCTGTGCTTTGGGCACCACACCTGAAAAATCTTTGCCTTATCTAAGGTCACAAAGATTTTTATCTATGTTTCCTCTAAGAGTTTCTAGTTTTAGCTCTTAGATTTGAGTTAGTTTTTGTATATGGTGTGAGAGAGGGATTCGATTTCATTTTATTGCATGTGGATATCAGTGGTCCCAACACCATTTGTTAAAAGACTATGTTTCTCCATTGAATTCTCATGACACACAGGTCGAAAATCAACTGACCACAAATGTGAGGGTTTATTTCTGGACTTGGAATCCTATTCCATGGATCTGTATGTCTATCCTTATGCCAGTACCAAACTGCCTTGATTACTGTAGCTTTGCAGCAAATTTTGAAGTCATATTCTTCCTTTTCAAAATTATCCTTGAATTTCCATATGAATGTTAGGATCAGTTTATCAACTTCTGCAACAAAGCCAGCTGGGCTTTCAATGCGGATGGATTTGTAATTCCTGTTCAGCCCTGTCTGAGCTCTACTCCACCTCCTCCCCTTGAGTTCCCTGGGATTTTTCCCATAAATTCTGTCTTTTGCTTAGCATATTAAACTGGGTTTTGTTTCTTGAAATCTAAAGACTCCTAACCAAAAAGAGTAGAAACATGGTCCTACACACTCTCCCAAACAACCACCGCAACACCGCCTCCCCAGGGCCTACGCCCTCAGTCTGTCCCCCAAGTACCCGAAGACCTCACTGCAGTCCCAGTCCCAGCGCTGCTCCGTGATCCTAGCCCTTCACTGCATTTTGTAACTAGTTCCTTTCCAGGTTACATATATCATCTTTACCAGTTAAAAAAAAAACAGGCCTTCATTATATTCAGTTGAATGAGATGTCCCAAGACAGCACCACAAGATACACTTGTACCTCTGTACACCCCTTAGTATCTCTGCTTCATGCCTTGCATCTCATTCAATATGCAAATAAGAAGCTCTAGGAAGACCAAACATTGTTGTGCGCATTGGACAAAGGATATAGAAGCTGAAGTCCACAGAAGTTAAGTGTTGTGCCTGATCGTGACTTGCCGTGAACGTTGGGCTGTACTGATGCACACCCCATGTACAGGCACATGGTCCCGCCCTATCTCTAAGAGCTGCTTTAGGAGCCATCTCCTCCTATCAGTCCCCCAGGACTGCTCCCACGGCACCTCTGGCATCAACTCTACAAAGAGACTAAAAGCTCTGAGGGCAGGAATAGTTTGCCATCCATCCCTGCCCCACCAACTGCCCACCCTTACTCTTCTGAGCCAAACAAACCAGAATGGGAAGGCTCTCATTTTGACCGCCTTATATGCCAACCCTGAAGACTGGTTGTGCTTTGCCCAGCAACCTGTACCCAAGGGATATTCAGCCAGTGCTGGCAACTGGCTGAATATCCCTTGGGTGTGGCAGGGGGAGACCGGCCTGGAAAACCATTCAGCTGAGATGGGGGAGTTAGAGGCAGAAGCAGCCAGCTCTGAAGGAGGGATTTCACGCCGCACAAGCTAATTCACATGTGGCAGGATAATATTTTGAGCTAGTGACCAATGCTATTTTTCTCTCCTAGAAGTTTCCTCGTTTTCAATTCACTCCATTGGCACAGGTAATTGGTCAGTACTCATTGCCCGAGGGAGGGATGCAGATGGAAGCTGACTTCTGTTAAGTCTCAAGAGGGAACGAGCACTGGGATGCAGACAAGATTGTTTGGCCAGAAACATGGAGGGGAAAGAAAAGGCTGGTTAGGGAAGAGAAGTCGGAGGTTCTAGGAGAGAGGCGTGTCTGCTCCAGGCTTCCCAGACAGACAAGCAGACACATGGTAAACCGAGCAGATAATTTCCAGTCCCTGGATCTGGTGTTGGAAGCCTCAGAGAGCCCCAGGGCCAGGCCGGCCAGCAAGACATATGTCTGGTAACAGATGACTCAATAACCTACTGATCACACACACACACGGAGTGTTTTGTGATGTCCTAGAGTTATGTAACACAATTTTTAGGTAGGTGAGAATGTAAAAAAGACAGCCTATGGGATTAGTGCTTCACATAAACATGAAGGAGACATAAAATGCATTTATCTTTCTTACACCCTTAAGTTGTAGCCTAAAAGTCACACCCATTATACACATTCCCACCATTCTGGTGCCTGCTGCTTCCATTCCAGCAGCTGCTTTCCCCAGATACCCCAGGAATCAAGAGCCTGATCCAGCCTCCTTCAATCCAGAAGCCCCCCAGACTGAGGAGGAGAATGTGACAAATGCAATAGCCCCTCCCATGTTTTCCAGATCTTAAATGGAAACGGGGGCCCCAGAAGAGCTCTAGTCTGCCATCACCCCTGACTTCTACACAACAGGAAATGGCTACTTACTTGACCTTCAGGCTTGCCAGCATGGTCTTGTCGATCCTGCCAAGAGAAAAGCAAGGGCTATGGTCAGTGCCAGGGCTGAAGGCACCCACCCAGCATCTGCAGGGGAGAGGTCCCTGGGCCTGTCCAGACCACCAGCCCGACCGGGTGCTGCAGGGGACAGCTGCTGCGGGGGGGAAGTCTCCTCCAGCCCAGGAAGAGGACAGGGAGCTCTGGGAGGGCTGGAGCCACACACAACCCTATGAGGCGGGTACAGTTATTCTCCTCATTTTTAAATTTTTGTTTTTTTAAGATTTTATTTATTTATTTTTAGAGAAAGAGGAAGGGAGGGAGAGAAAGAGGGAGGGAAACATCAATGTGAGAGATAAACATTGACCAGTTGCCTCTCGTTCACGCTCCACCCGGGGACCAAACCCATACCCCAGGCATGTGTGTGACCAGGAATTGAACTGGTGGCCTTTTGCTTTGCAGAACAACGCCCAACCAACTCAGCCACACTGGTCAGGGCGGTTCTCCCCATTTTAGAAATGAGGAAACTGAGGCTCCAAAGAGTAAAATCACTAGCCTGGTCTGAATCCCGGTACCTGACTCCAGATCCAGGGGTCTTGCGCACTTTGTACGTAGCCCCACCCTTTACTACGTCCATGCCACAAGAAGACGGGGAAACCTAGACTCCTCAGTCACCAGCGCTGGACACTCAACACATCGCTACTTCCTGAGCTTCTGCTCTGAAAAGATGCCAGCACTTCCCCATCCCCAGCACCAAAGACCCTCCTGTCCTGGGAGCTGCCAGTCTAGCCAAGGAGGCAGACCCCACTCCTGGGACAGAAGCCGGCAGCAGGGACCTAGGCAGGTGGTACCTGTCGGGCCCAAGAGCTCGGAACAGGGGAGATCACGTTTGCGGCAGACTGTCCCGGCAGCCAGCTCCCGCCCCAGCCTGCACCTCCCTGGAAGACAAGGCAGCGCTGCCAAGCTTCTATTTTTACTCTCTGCATATGTCAGCCCTTATGGCTGGTAGAAAAGGCTCCTTTCTCTCTCCGGAGACAGAAAGGTAGGCAAGGTTCCCTCTGCTGGAGTCTCCTCTTGTTTAGGGGTCACAACCACCACCGTTACCACCAGTATCACCATCACTACCAGCGTCGCCATTACCATTAGTATCACTACTACCACGACTGTGACCACCACCACCAGTGTCATAATTACCACCACTGTCACCACTGTTGTCGGTGTCACCACCATCAGTGTCACCATCACCATCACCACGGGTGTCACCATCACCATCAGAGTCACCATCACCAATGTCCCCATCACCATCACTCTCAGTGTCACCACAGCCCCATGTCACCACCATCAGAATCACCATCACAAGTGTCACCACCCATCAGTGTCACCATCACCATCAGTGTCACCATCATCCCTATGTCAGCATCACCATCAATGCCACCAAAATCACCACCACCTCCAGGAGGCTCGAAACCCTGGGAAGTTCCTTCGGCCGCCCTTGCCCGTGCAGCTCAGACCGGCCACAGGCCTCTCTCCCTGACACCTGGCTCCCGGGGCGGCAGGGGCAGGGGCGTGGTGTCGGGGCCACGCGGAGAAAAGGTGGAGCTGCTCCAGCAGTCGCAGGTCGCACCGAGCCCCTGCGCTGGCGGGTGAGATCCTTTCACCCTGAGTAAACTGCTAGCACCTTTTCTTTTTTTTTTTTTTTTTGCAAGCAATCGGGTATTTAATAAGAGGCATTTCTGTGGACACAAAAGAGAAACAAAGGCTAATGAAGGGAGCAAACTATAAGCTCGGTTCCTGAGTTCTGAAGGCAGGCGGTCAAGATTTCCCGATGTCCGTCCCTAATCATCGTCATATGGAGGGAAGGCAGGCCGAGACAGTCTGAGGGGTTCTCTTGGTCTGCGGTTTGAATGTCTCTGGTGACCCTTCTGCAGCAGGAACAAAGACCGTCCACAGAGGAGCTGTAGTGGCGACTTCTCTGAAGTCTACATCAAGTTGTCCCACTTTCGCTTGCATGGCCTTGGGAAACAGGCGGTTTTGGTTCCCAATGATTCCAAGTCAATGGATGGGAAAATGAAAATATTAGCTTGGAGGGCCTCTGCCAAATACAATATTTTAGAAAACTAGAAAAATTCAGGCTCTAGTCAAGTTTATAGGTAGAAAAAATGTTTAACTGAAAAGACAACGAACAGCACTAGAACCTAATAGGCACAAAGGAATATTGTAGTTTCTATTGAAACAATCTTCTCTCTAAAATGACCCTTATTTTTATCAAAGACAGCCAAATTAAGACTAAGTTATTTGCAGAATGAGTCTAGTTTCAATAAACTTGACCTGATTATTTGTATAAGTCCAGCAAGAAGAGCAATCAACCACAGAGGCTCTTTTAAATCTGCTTTGTTGGAATTTTTCATAAGGAATCTTCATATTGAATTTTAAAGTCCTCTCGAGGCTAAGAAGCCAAGCTGCATACTTGCCATAAGATTTTGCCTGCAGCCCTGGCTGATGTGGCTCAGTGGATTGAGCACCGGCCTGTGAACCAAAGGGTTGCTAGTTTGATTCCCCAACTGGGGCCCTCCCAGCTTCTTCTCCTCATGCCTCCTGGATCACGTGCTTGGGGCTTCCACAACAGGTCCCTATGGGTCTCGTTGGCCCCAACCCGCTCTGGGATGCAGACCTTCCTCCTCTCCCATTTAACCTACCAGATGAGGGTAGATTCGACCCAAGAGTCAGAGCCTCACATTTTGCTATAATATTTGTAACCCAGAGCAAGCCGATTGTAACCCCAAACAGTAAATCCTTACATTTATATTTTCTCAAGGGATCTCTTTTAATTCTTACAGCATCCCTGTGTTGTGAGTAAGGCAGAAATCCCCCACTTACACATGGAGAAACTGAGACCCAGAGAGGGGAAGTGTCCCAACTGAGTTCCTCAGTGAGTCAGGGTGGAGTCAGCACTGGAACCCAGACTCTTGGTATAACCCCCTCTTGATCCCGCCACCATGCCACTCACTGGCACTCTGGGTCACAGCAACCCACCCTAGTGCCCACATCCATCGCTACCCCCCAGCCTGTCCAACACAGGGTACCGATGTAGCGGTGTGGTCCCGGGAGGGCGGGGCCTATGGCCTTGGCAGGGCTGAGACAGACGCTAGGGCAGTGGCTGTGACACTGAACCTTTCAGGAAGCCAAAGTCCCCAGGTTCTCCCTGGTGCCTTCTCTCCTCCCTCCCCTCCCCATCCTGCCAGCTTGTCTCTCCCTGGCATCCAATGGGGCTTTTAAAACAACCGCTCCCGAGATTCTGCTCACTGTCTGCAGTGGTCCAGGGCTGCAGGGAGCTGTAACTTAGTCCCTGACCAACTGACATCCATGGCAGCTGACAGCCATCCCCAGATGACACCCGCCCTAACCCTCCCCTTCCAGGAAGCCCTGCCATTCCCTCAAGCTTGACAAGCCCCCACCCACATGCCTATTGTGGACAAAACACCTCAGTCATTCCAGAAGCATCTACTGAGCACATACAATGGGCCAAACACAGTCCCTCTCTCTGCTCCACACCCCCCACAGAAGGATGGGCCTCGGAGGACACGTGTCACCACTTGGGCCCTGCCCTACATGCCTCCCAGCCCAGCCTCACACACGGTGACCGACCAGGAAACAGACTAGGTGATTCGAATCCAGTCTGCACCCTCAGAGTAGCTGCCCCTTGGCCTGAGTGTCAGGAAGGGCCCACAAGCAGGCACAAGGCCATGCTGTGCCACTCCTGGCATCTTCTCATCCTCTCTGTTCTCATCTGCCAAATACGGAGCACCCAGAGGCCCTTCCTACCACAGGATGGGTGGCAAAGTGCTTTCTGAGAGGAGAAAAGGGGAAATGGAAAGCTGCATACATATGGGATGGAGGACTTAGCCAAAAGCACAGAGCCTGCCTCTTCCCAGTCCCCTGTGCCTCCTTCCCTGTCTCCCTGGCTTCTTGTGACCCCCATCAGCCCACCAGCTCCTACACCAGGACACTCCCTAGCCACTCCCTCTGCAAAAGTGTGAACCTGCTGTTTGACAACGCCCCATGCCCAGAAGCTGAAAGGAAACCGATAATGAAAACCACTAAACCCTGTTCCCCAGCTGAGGAGAAGCTGTCAGCAGCTGGAACGAGAGACAAGGTTTGACTTCACTCTCCCAGTGTTCTGTCTTCCTGGTAAGGAAAAAATTTGTTCCCTGTCCCAGACAGTAGCTTAATGACAAAAGGTGGGTCAGAGGGCCAGGCAAGAGGCTGTAGCACAGACCGTGCTGCTCAGGCTGGGACAGAGCTGGAATTGGCTGCCCAGGGTGGGGAATGGGGGGAGGGACCTCCAGGGACAGGCCTGCCCCCTCCTCTCACAGCTCACCCCCTGCAGAGAGGAGGCAGCCCCAAAGGTCCACAGGCCACAGACTCCTCCTGCCACCAAGTCACAAAGATGACAGAGACAGGAGCACAACGCACACGCACAGACAAGAGCACACACAGGTACAGGAGACCAGAGGTAGAGACCGGCACCCGCTCAGAAACAAAGAGTGCGCAGGTGGGCACACGCAGAGGCACGCCCACCCAGCCAGGCACACACCCCACCCAGGGTCACACAGACTAGTAGCTGCAGGCATGTGCACCACACACAATCTCAGGCACACACTTGCACGGTCATCACAGAGGTGCCTACACATGTATGGGAACACATGACAGACACACACATTCAAGCACAGTCACCCACAGTCACACTCACACCAGTTCCAGCTCTGACCTTCTGGATTCCCTAGGAGATTGTATCCAATTGACAGCGAGGAAAAGCGTACAGGGTCTGAGGCCCCCACCAGGACCCTCCCTCCCCATCAGTGGGGCATCTGAAAGTGCCCCTGCTGACCCCGGGTTCAGGCGTAACCTGAGCTCCCTCTTCCCCAGGTACCAGCTGCGCTCAGCCAGACTGCACACCGAAGTCACCCCATCCCTTCAACCTCCCCCCAACCGGTCACCTACCATCCGAAGCCCCCAAAAGACACGCTGCG